TATCTGCCATACATTCTGATGTGTGTGCAGCTTTAAAGACCTACATATAATTTAAATGGCGGCCTCGACACATACCACAGCCCCATCCCCATGCACCATTTACGTATAGTTATCTGTGTATGTAGGTGTGTATCTGTGTGTCTGCCTACACACACACACACACACACACACACATATAGACAGAGAGACATTCATTTACCTGACGCATTTTTCCGAGTGTCGCAAACGATTTGCCCGCTTCGCTTGTTTCGCACATATTTCATCTTTGGCCTTTGCTTTTTGCTGTTATTTATTTGTTTTTTATATACCCTGTAAATGTAATGCTAACAGGGTATATGTGCTTGAATTGAGTTGCCCTATAAAAGCAATTCGTATTAAGAGGCGTTCCAATTCCGCGTTCCAGAAAGCTATCAGCTTTCAATTAGTTTATGTATTTGAATCATAATATATTGTTTATATTATAGAAAATATATATATAGAAGTATTTATAAGATTCGTTGTAGAAAAAACTGAAGAAAAGGATATAGCAAATCCTTTGTAAAAAAAATATAAATTGAAAGTATAAAAATAAACGAAACCTTGGGATAGATAAAACTCTACCTGGGCGGGATAATACGATAAACATAAATTTATCAATTTACAGTATTTTTCAAAATTTATCATCTCTCTGCCACACTAAAGGGTATTTAATGGTCGGTGCCATGTTGTCTTCTTAGTTGTCTCTTTCAAAAATTTAATGTATTTATTTTGCTATTTGTATGCGCAGCTTGGGAATATGTCTTGCCAACTGGCCATATACAATATATATTCATATAAATTTATGAACAGCAATTAGCTCGTTATCGAGAAAAAAAACTATACAATATCGGCTAACGATAAAAATGTAACTGAGATATGCGTGGCCCATATGGTCCAAGAAGTCAGAGCAATTCGATCTTCTTCGAATTGATTACTTTTGCTGCTGCAATTCGGCGTCGCAGATATTTATTCCAGTGATTTTTATTTACACATGGCAAATGGCGAAAAAGAGAAATATGTATATATGTATGTATATATGTATATATGTTTGAAGGCAAAGTAGAAACACAGCCGACACAACAAATAATTCATTTCCAGCGAAACGAAACAGGCAGTCGCACGAAATAAAAAGAATTAATACAAATTTAAATGAAACACAAGGAAATACCAAAAATTCTTAGCACGAACGTCATTAATGTACGGTTTTCACAAAATGTGATTGCAACGATTGCCACTGGGGCAAAGAGTTTTGCTGCCTGTCGCATGGAACGGAGGCTCGTTGCCAGCTGGATGCATATGCAAAAATAGAAAAACTCTGGCCAACATTTAATTGATGGGTCAGCAGCGTGGCTAGAATTATTCGTTCTGCCGCAGAAGTTCCCTTTTTTTCGACACACTCGGCATAAGGTACTAACTCTTATAAGCTATTTGTTAAAAACTACTCGCTGTAAATTACCCGCTATAAGCAACCACTCGTTGTAAACTACTCGCCAGAAGCCACTCGCTTTTTACAGACTACTCGCTATTATCCACTCGTAATAAGTTACTCGTTATTAATTACGAGCCATAATCAATTGTGACAAGCTACTAGCCATAGAAATCTTTTCGAAAGTAATATGGCAAGATCTGAGCTCTTCGCAGCTTAGTTATTAACAGCGACTTATAACTTTGCTTTGCGCTTGGGTTATAATAAAAACCACACCTTGAGAGCTAATCGACACTCGCTAGAAATGTCTCGCTAAAAGCTACTAGTTTCTTTGCAATAGATTCAATATAAACTTTTCATTGCAATCTATTCACTAGCTATTACTCGTTATGAACTACTCGTTATGAAGAACTCGTTATGAACTACTCGTTATGAAGAACTCTGCTTTCTATAACAGACTTATTAAGAAGAACTCGTTTTAAAATACTCGTTAGAAACTATTCGTTACAAATTATTCGCTATATGCTACTCGTTATGAACTACTCGTTCTAAGCTACGAGCTTCTCGGCACAAACTACTCGTTATGACTTACTCGTTAGAATCAGAGAGTGATAACCAATTTGGACAAGTTATAGACATCATCTTGTTAAATTTTCTCAAAGAATCATATTCTATAAAACTTTTGATACTATTAAAAGAATTTCTAGAGCGCAGCGCTTCGTAGCTATCAACAACGGCCGTTTAATTATCAGCTCTAATATTACTTAGGGCATTCGAGATTGTGCTGCAAAAGCGCTCAAGTGCAAAATGCTCATCATCATCAACAGCAACAGAGACAGCCACAACAACAATAGCAACTACAGCTAATCAACAGCTACAACAACGACACCCAACAATTGCTCAAATGTGGAGCATGAATAATGATGGGAAGACAACAACAACAACAACAACAACAACAAAAACAAAGAGCAGCAACAATTACAGAGTAACATAAAACCGAAAAGGAAAAAACAAACAAATAGTGAAGCAGCGAGAGAACATCAACAAGCCATCTGGCAATTAAATGATTGGCATTGATCGTGAAATTTGATAGCAATTGTGCCACACAGACAATTTACATACACTTCCAACGCAGACAAACTGTCTGACAAAATATAAAAAAAAAAAACAAACGCAACTCTCGGTGGGGAAACTCTGGGCAAAATGCCAATTGCAACTTGAGACACTCGTCGCACTATTCTGCATACCCTGTGCCAATCAAATTGACTGATACAGGGTATTCTAGTGCGGTTGTCTACAGGGTGTTTCCGCAATTACGCAAGCTTCTCCTCATAATTTGCAGCTTGATTTTTGATAGTATTGTGTTTCTATTTGCATCTCTTTGGGCTCTTTACAGGATATTAATCCAATTTCACCTTGTGACTACCGTTTTCAGTATGTATTGCTACAGGGTATCTGCTAGTCTTGAATTCTCTATTAGTTTCTTTTAGCTCTGTGGCATATTACACATTGAAACTTGGCATCCTTTTGCTATCCTGGTATCTTTTTACAGGGTAACTATCGGTCTCACGCTCTTCTCGTCTCTGCCATTGCCATTTGTTTTATCTTTGGTGGTTTCTGCCATCTCCAATCTTAATTGCATCTCATTTGCATGGCTCGTGCGTTGGGAGCTGCCTAATGAGGCATTTTATCAGCCGCTTAGCCGAGACAGCAACCAGTGCAAGGCAGCGACCCACAATTGCAGCAGGCACACCCCTGCCCCTGCCATGCCCACATGAGCACATGGCACAGCCGCATGCGCCTTTTAATGTTTGGCAGCTGTTTACTTAGCCTCCTTGTAAGTCGTCACCAAGGCACTTGCCAGTTTATTGTGCCAGTTTTGTTCGCCTCTTTTTGCTGCTGCCTTTTGTTATTGTTGTTGTTGTAAGCCGTAAGTCGCAGCACATTGCAACCGCATTTAACGTGCCTTTTGTTTGTCGCTCTTGCTGCACTTGGAGTGGGTGGCATACGAAACATTTGTTCTCATCCGCAATAAATAGCCAAGAAATTCCACTGGGCGCCGCCAGGGGCCATTAAAAGTGTGCATTTGAATTTATGGAATACTGCCCCATCGAATCGTTGACCCACTCGCGGGGTAGAAGGCGGGGCAAGAAAAAAAATCTAAGTTGTGCATGTTAAAAGTACTTTTAAAACAATTTACGCAAACAGTTTCTTCAGTGAACTCCGCTTTCATTTAAAGTTCATTATTTAAGTTTTACGCACAGGTATATATAATTATATATATTCTCGATCAATAGGATCGTCCGATATGTCTGTCTACCAGTTCGTCCGTCCACCTGGTTCTAGAGTGCTTAATCGAATTATAACGTCTTTTTTCCCAGCTGCAAATTCGAAATATAACGAATTTGTATGCATGCCCTTCTATGCGCTTCTCATAATTTCAAGTAGGGGCTGGCACTTTCTGAGTTATATTAGTTATGTGTAAATATATATGTATTGGTGTGTGTATGAAAAATGTTTCTTTTAAACAGTGTTGGTGTGTATAAAAGTGGACCACTCTCAGTTTCCTTTCTCTCCCTCTCTCTCTCTCTCTCTCTGACTTCCCCTCTCGATCTCTCTCTCTCTTTGACTTCCGCTCTCTGTCTCAATTTCTTGTCGAGTCTATATTTTGTCGAATTTCTCTGACTCTCACTCTTTCAGTGATGCTCTCACTCTCTTTTATCTTCATAGACCTTACTCTTGTTCTCTGTCTTTCTCTTTCTAACTCCACTCTTTACTTTGCATTATCATATTCACAAATTCTATTTCTTTCTCTCGCTGGCTCTTAGTCTTCACTTTCTTCTTTCCTCCTATGTCTGACTCTCTCTTTCTCTTCGCTACACTCTCCGTATTTATTATCTTTCTCTCTCTGTCTCTCCTTCCCTCTCTCCCTCCCTACCTGCCTTTGAGGGTGTCTCTGTCTCACTCTCCCTCTTTGTTTTTGTAACTTATTTTCTGTCCTTTACTTTTTCTCTCCATGTATTCTCTTTATATCTCTCTCTTTTTTTATCTCTCTCTCACTTTGTCTTTCCTTTCTTACACTATTTTCTGTGTTTAAATTGTACCCTCTCACTCTCTCTCGTAACCTTTCTTGTACTCTCTCTCGTACTCTTCCTCGTACTGTCTCTCGTACTCTCTCTCATTCTCTCTCGTACTCTTCCTCGCACTGTCTCTCGTGCTCTCTCTCACTCTCTCGCGTACTCTCTCGTACTCTTTCTCGTAGTCTCTCTCGTACTCTCTCTTGTACTCTCTCGCGTACTCTCTCTCTCTCGTTCCCTCTCGCGTACTCTCTCTCTTTCGTACCCTCCCCCTCTCTCTCTCGTACTCTCGCTCTCTCGCTCTCTCTCTCTCTCTCGTACTCTTTCTCTCTTTCTCTCTCTCGCTCTCTCTCTCTCTCTCTCGTTCTCTCTCTCTCTCTCTCTCTCTCTCTATCTCTCTCTCTCTTGGCTTGTCCCGCTCACTCTCTATTCGATTTTCGATCATTTATGGACTCATGATATTTCATTATCTTTTGCAGAATGTGGTGGACCATAACTGGGAACTTTGGCAACATTCTGCCCATCGATTGGTCCAAGTCGTATACACGCCAGATGCACATGCCGACCCTCAATCTGGGTCAAAGCCGAACAAAGCAGCAGCAGCAGCAGCGCAACCAGCTGCAACAGCAGCAACAACAACAACAAAACCAACAACAACAACAGTCCAACACGCTGGATGCACAAACGCCAGTGGATGAGTTCAACGACTTGGCCAGCGAGGATGAGGCGGTGGCCAACGACTTGGACATGCATGCCTTGATATTGAATGGCCTGAACGGGGATGCCGACGATCATCCCATCAAGACGGTGGAGGAGGTGATTAAGGAAATTGATGACATCATGGATGAGGCCGAGAGTCCGCTGGATGAGCCCGAGACCTGTGATTCGGAGGTCATTGAGAAGGCGCGCGAGGTGCTCGGCGCTCCGCTTTACGCAGAGAGTGAGTAAATCCCGCGTAAAGTCACTTCGATAGCTAAAGTTTGAACTCCTTTTTGTCTAGAATTACAATATCTGAGCAGCACACAGCTGAACGAGCTGTATATGGAAATGGAGATGCTCATCCAGGAGCTGAGCGAGACACTGATCAATGAGCTGGCGCTGCGCGATGAGCTCGAGTACGAGAAGGAGCTGAAGAACTCCTTCATATCCTTGCTGCTGGCAGTCCAAAATAAGCGTCGACAATACCATGTCGAGAAGAAGCGCGGCAAATTCCAAGGTAATAGCCACATAGCCTCAAATGTATATATTATTCAGTTGTAATATATTTGAATCTCTGCTTCAGGTCCGGAGCCCAAGTACTTGACCACTGTCATACCGTATCATCTGGAGAACGGCACACCCAACAATCAGTCGCTGCAGGTGTTGATCAAAAGTGAGTGTTCGCCTGCGAAGGCTGCAGCTGCACAATTGACAAATACGCGGGAATCCCAATCTATAATATTCAAAAATATATGTCAAAAGGAGATCTATTAGCATACACGATTTTGTGGCTTTGGTAGTTCAGCGTTTTCCTTTTTAATATTACAGAATTCAATGTCCAGCTGATATAAGTTGTATATACCTTGGGGTAACAAAAACAGCATATGTTCTTTTTTGTAATTTGCTGCTTCTTTCTTCATCCAAAGCTATATTCGTATTGCTAGCTGTTAAAATTGTCTAGAGATGCTGATAATCGATAAATATTAATTTTTGCGAAAACATAAAAAACAACATAAAATTCTTGGATTAAGACGAACATATGAAAACTTCTTATAACTAAAATCAATGCATTTATCCAGGCTAGAACGAAGACAGCTCTTTGTGCTGACAAATATAATGCATATATATGCCTCAAGAGATCAGAGATTTCCCCTAATATATCAGCATAGTATAGTATAGTAGTTAAATACATATATTTGCTTCTTTTTGCATTCACGCTAGATTTTATGATATCCCTTTATATAACAAGTCATAATATATTTCTATCTAAGATAAATTTAATTCGCAAATGTATAAAAATTGTATACAATTTGTAAGGTTTACCATGCGACCTTCAAATATCTGAAACCCCCTTCAAGATGTGTTTCACACTTTTTGGACAAGGAATATACTTTATAACACAAAGATATGCTCAAATATACTCTTACTTTCTTGCAGTACTCAAGGCTATAAATGAGGACAGTCCGACGGTGCCGACGCTGCTAACGGATTACATATTGAAGGTGCTCTGTCCCACATAAATGACGGCAACAGCAACAACAAAAACAACAACAACAAGAACAGCAACAACAACAGCAACAATAGCTACAGCAACAATATACGCTCTATCTCTTTGTCTGTGTTTAAACGAGTATATATTATTTAATAATTAGTTTATATTACTTATAAATGTGTAACACATACGAATAATATATTCGATATGAAATGAGCAAAAATACGCGCTAACACAAATCCAAACTCTATTTGTCATATGCAAACGCTTCAAACTAAACGAGCTAAACCCAGATATCTAGCCTGTTAAAGCTATATCTTCAGCTAGACAGAAATAGCTAGATTATTAAGAAAGAGAAAGTGAATGTGAGTGTGTTTAAGCAAAGTACGTATTGCACGCAATACTCAAACCTATATGCAAAATTCTTAACTAAAGAAAAAATACAAAAATAACAAAAAAAAAAAAAAGTATATACAAAAAATAAAAACAATTTACCATATTTAAACACAATGTCGCATAGTCGAAATGTTGTTAAGCTTCAAGAAATAATAAATAAAACAAAAATTCGAATAGCTAGCATACATATAGATGGGCATGCGTATGTATTGTAATGCCATAAACATTTAAATAATTGTCTGTCTATATATATATTTATATATATATATATACATATATATGTGCATGTGTATGTATATATATATCAGATTCTTTGTCATGTGTTCGTCGCTGTTTCAAAACTGTCTTAAAACCAATCGATTTGGAAACAGTTTCAGCATAAGTAAATATCGTGTGTGTGTGTGTGCATAGTCAAACAAAAGTTGTTAAACTATACATATATAATCACACCATATATATATATATATATATATATGCATACTAACTGAATGTTGGCTCCTTGCTCGACTTTTGCTTCAAGCTGTGCTCCCAACGAGTTTTGCATTTTTGCTAAATCAACTCAACTCAGCATCAGGTTTATTATTATTATTATTAATATTATTGTATAATGTCTAAACAATTGTTTTCCATTTTGTTGCAATTTTATTACTATTATTATTATTATTATTATAATTTTTTTTTTAATTTCATTTTGCTTTAAGCTACTGCAATACAAAGGCACTCGAATAGAATTTTTTTTGTTATTATAATTATTATTACTATTATTATAATTATAATTATGTTTATTTTATGCACGAGGCGCGCGCGTGGCCATAAAAACAAAAAAGATAGAAAAAAAAAACAGCGCACTTTGCTCTGTTTACAACAAAATTCATTAAAAATGTAATTTTATTTTAATTATTTTTGCATGCAAAACGCTGTGTTATCTACTTTTTATCAATAAATATGCTTGAATGCAAATTCAAATACAATTTAAAAACTTACAATATACAACAACAAATATATATACACATATATTTAAACTAAAAACAAAAGTAAAAATAATAAAAACACAAATAAATAGATTTAAATTGAGTCAGGCGCACAGTGCTTTTATTTAATTAAATATATATATATATATATAAATATATATATTTATGCCTTATGTTAACTACAAAAACAAAGCATAAACAGTCCAAAAAAAAAAAAAAAAAAACAACAACAACAAGAACAACATTTATATCATGTTTCACATCTCACATACAACAAACAAAACAAATCACAAAATAAAAGTTCGAATTTTGTTAACTTCGGCTAACCGAAGATTGCATACACTTTTTTTCGAAGGCTACTTTATCGACGATCTGAACTTTTTGGGGCAATTCCGTAGGCGTGTGCACCACAATTAATGCAAATCTTAGGTACCTTTGATAAACAAAAACAAAAAGAAATAAGCAAAATAAAATAAAATATGCATTCATACCAAAACTAACCTAAACTTGAAAGACAACCTACAAAATATAACTGCATAAATGTTTACGATTCATATACTAAATTTATATATACATATAAAAAGATATATATATATATATATATATATGAGCGCGCTTTATTACAAGAAAAAAGAAACAAAAAAAAGCAAATATTTACTAAAATGCAAATTTCAATGGCAAACATTTTTTTTTTTTTAGGTGTCAAAAATAAAATAAAAAAATAATAACTAAATACGTAAAACAAGCGAACGTGTTTGTAAATTTAATTGAAGTCCATGTTAAAATTGAAAGCAAGGCATGAATATTATATTTATTTGATAAATTAATAAATACCAAAAGAAAGCCCGAGAAACAAATAAATAAAAAACCAACATAAATGAAATGCATTATATACATACATATACATATATATGTATATATGCAATGCAATGCTCTATATACAAAAGGAAAACAACTTTAAAATTGCTTAAATAAAAACCAAAATTACAAAAGCCAACAAAACTCTTGTCTCCATTTCCAATTGGAACTTACAACAACAAATTGTATCTCAATGTTGTCCCATAAGGGCACGGCCCAGTGGCAGTTACAAAAGTTATCGACCAGCTGCCACATTTCAAATGCTGACTGAAACTGGCCATTGTTATGCATAATTATTTCTAAGCTAGTGATTGGTAAGGAACTTAACGTTCTGAAATATTTTTTATTTAACAAAATTGTATTGCTTAGTTAAGTGTAAGAATTATTTTAACGAATCGCGCATTGTTGTTCGCCAGTGTGTACACGCTGTTTGCAGCTTACAGCCAACATCGATAGCTGGCTGATTGGCATCGATAGCAATCGTGCTCGATAGCTCCCATCACTACGTCAACTAGCCTTGCCTATCCATAGTTTTTTTTTTTGTATCCAAACAGTAAAAATAAGTTTAAACAAAAGCATATACACATAAGTTTCATTTTTTTTTTTTCGTTAAGTGTAAATTTTATTTATTTTTTAAGTGCGCGTTTAATAAGAAAATGTCATCGCGAAGGTAAATCCAATAGGAAAAACGACAATGTACACACACACGAACACACGCAAGCACACGCACACACACACACTGTCAACACATATGTACCATACACACACACACACACACAACGCGCACACATTCCCGTACACGCACACACACATACACATAGATACACTCTGGGTCTATTTACATATGTATAAGTATATACAAAAAAAAAAAAATCAAAAATGCAAAGCAGCGAGAAAAAAAAGAAACAACAACATTGAGATAAAAAAAAAGTGCAACAAAGTGCTGAAAGTAAATTGACCCCCGCAAACACTGCCCCACCCCGCCTGCCGGCTCACAATTTGCAAAAGTATCGCAGCTACAGCTACAGCTGTTGCTGTCTGCCACCTCTGTTGCTGCTGCTGTTGCCGTTGCTGCTGCCGCTGCTGCTACTGTCACGTTACGGCAGCGGTACTCGCGACGGATGCAGGGTGGGCGGGGGCGTGGCAAGGCAGGTGGCTGGGTCAAAAGCGTTTAAAGATGTGCTCACGAACGTGCCACTCACGCAGCTGTAAATTGTTGTTGAACTTAAATATTCGTGACACGAATATTCACAATGCTCACACACACACACACACACACAGGCGAACATGCACACACTCACGCACAAACTGTTCTATCTGGTGGCGTACATATGTTTGCTTCTCTGCACGTCTTACAGATGGTTCCACCCAACGATATCGGGCATCGAAGCTGAAAAATTATTACAGGAACAGGGCTACGACGGTTCATATTTGGCGCGCCTATCATCTTCAAATCCGGGCGCATTCACGCTTTCCGTGCGTCGTGGCAACGAGGTAACACACATCAAAATCCAAAACAATGGTGATTTCTTCGATCTTTATGGCGGTAAGTGTTGCAACTATAACGTCAAGAACAATAGCATTGCAACAAGTACAAACAAATCTCTACCTCTCTACCTGTTACAGGTGAAAAGTTCGCCACATTGCCGGAGCTGGTACAATACTACAGTGAAAATGGGGAGCTGAAGGAGAAAAATGGCCAGGCCATTGAGCTGAAGCAGGCGCTCATTTGTGCCGAGCCCACGACGGAAAGGTAAGTGCAGCCGCATTCCGCACCTGGACGACCCCAAGCCAGATGCCTTAACAGCGCACCATTAACAACAGCTGCAGCGGTTAACAGCTGCTTATGTTTACATTATGTTATCAATATACGTAGCGCAGCTGATGTCGCGGCCGATGTCGCCATGCTGTCTATTATATACTTATGTATGCATGCATGTATGTGCATGCACAATACATGCACGCCTATGCGTGTGTGTATGTGTATGTGCATGCATGTGCGCATGTATTTCTGTATGCATGCGTAATATGCATATCTATGCTTTCGCTCACAATTTTTTTGACCCATTTCAAAAAATACACTTTTACTCGAGTGTTTTACAATTTTGCAATGGAATTCGCAACACTTTAAAAATGACATATGCTTGATATACGTCATGCATCGGGTCTATTTATACCAGACTCTTAGCTTCTATATGGATATATGCTTATATTTGCATAGTACTGATTTGCATTGATTATTTGACCGATCATTCCTCTGGCAATAACATGATATTGAGTTCGGTTGAGCTAAATGACGAATCTATAAAAACTCTGTCTATGCCTTACACATATCGTGCCAAATTTAGAATAAATCTCATTTCAAATCCCCGGCTAAAATGATATTCCCATGAAAATCAGTTTGGTTTCAACAGAGCAATAGACAATTCACAAGTCTACTTTCAATCTATTGTAGGCTTTCGGAATTTTTTATATCTGAATGTTGTTCAATACGTTTGTGAAAAGCAGGACACTCGGAATTCGCAAAAACATAACCTCAATAAACGAAAGCAGAGCAAACATTTCGCTGAACAGTTCAACTTTCTTCTTTTGTGCTTTTTGCGCAAGTTTTTGATTAAACAATCTATTGGCACAATCAATTCGACACGTTGCTTCGCAAATAATCAAAATTAATAAGCTTTGCGCAAATTGTTGTTGCAAATAAGGCAGCTTTTGCAAATTATGCTGAGCGTCAGAAAGCGTACGCGCGATCGCACGCGACATACACGCCGCACGACGCACGACGCACGACGCACGCAAGAGACTCGCTGTCTGCGGCGTTAACAGTGCGTGCGCAACATTAACAGTGCACTGTAAGTGCTCATGCAAAGGATCTGTTAAGTTTTGTATGTGCTCAGCAGAACACGATTAAGTCTGAATAAATGCGATTTAATGCAAAAACAAAGAAATATGTATGCGCAGATATATATATATATATGTATATATATATATAGTGTATAAGTATGTGTATGAACACCTACCAGACGTTGCCCATAAATGCGTTGCATTGTTGTGGCTGGTGCTGTTATTGCTTTTTTGCAGCCCACACGGACACAGAGAAAAGTAATTTTTTCTTATTTATTGCTTATTAACATTTTTTTTGTCTGACTGTCAAATATTTTATTACCACTCAGCGTGGCTCTATCTCTCTCTTACGCGCTCTCTCTCTCTCTCTCTCTCTCTTTGTTAAATGCGTTTCCAATTTATTGTGTGCATTGTTGTTGTAGTTGTTGTTGTTGTTGTTGCCGTTTTCCGCATCCTAACGGTCAGCCACCTTTTGCGCCACGCCCACTGACTTTGACCGTCTGCCTCTTTGGCTAATTTCGTTTGGGGCACTTAAAAATATACCCAACTGGCAAATTTCAACTGGAAACTGGAAATCAAAAATCATTTTAACTGTGTTAAGTGCGCGCATCTCTGACGCTTAACGGCTGCTCCCCTCGCACACACGCGCGCGCATACACACACACACTGAGCTCCCCCTGCCGCCACGGTCCGCTCCGCTCCGCTCAACCCCGCCAGCACAATCCACACCCAAATGCAATTTTTGGCATTGTGACGTTCTGTGGGTCGAATTATTCGATATGTTGTTGATTGTTTGGTTATTTATAATTTTAATTACATTTTTTTTTTTTTTTTTAATTTAGCCAGCGCATAATTTTTGGCGTACTTTATTTATAAGCGGCGAAAAAAGAGCTTGTGTAATAATAACAATCGGCGCGTACATCTCATTTTGATTTGCGCCCTTAACTGATCTCATTACGTCGATCTCGGCCGTCAGACGCACGTGACGCTCTTCCAACTGACGTCGGAATTTACTTTTGAATTGCTCTAAAATTAGTTAAAAGCCGTACGGGTAGCTTTCAGGTTTTATACAGACCTTTTGTTCTTCCTTGCTAGCGTAAGCTTTTGGCTTAGAGCAGCTTTTAGATTAATGCTAAGCTTAAGCCGCAGTGTTGGTAGGAGCTTTCCAGGCGCTTTTCTAGCTTGAGCAAGCTTTCAGCTGATACCAGCTTTTCAGACTCATCAACAAGGTAAAGACTAGATAGAGCCTTTCTCGTTTTCCGCGAGCTTTCAAATCAGAGTTTTACAAGCTGACTTTCAGGCTCTAGCCCTGAAAACGAATAAAGCAAGCTTTAAGCTGCCGTTAGCTTTAAGTTTTGCTTCGTACGTTCAACTTAAAGCTTTACATTTATTCTAAAAGCTTTCATATCTGAAGTCTCTAAGCTGACTTTGAGTTCCAGCTCCCTTTATGATCTAGTATTAAAAAAGAAGAAAGATAAGCTTTGAGCTGTTCATTTGCTCTCTAGATAAAGCTTTTATGAATCTTAATTCCAGGCTTCACTCCAAGCAATCAAAAAGAAAATAATATAAATAATTGCCCAGAGCTTTTAGCCCTATCTCCGTCTCCCTCTCACTGTCTTGTAGCTTGCTTTGTACGGTTTTTTTTTTTTTGTTTATAAATGTTGAGTCTTTTATTACCTTTCCATTAGAGCAAAAAAAAAGAATTCTTTGTGTCTGTTTAATGTGATGTAATCAAAAGAACCGAACCCATCAAATTCGGCTCGTGGGGACTCACAGGTTGCCCAAATGCCTTTGATCCTGAACGACTTATTTATATATTTTATGCGATGATGATGCAAATTTTCTGATCGCTCCTCCATTCGATTCCGGCTCGTAAAACTCCAAATGCGAGGTGCACGTCATCTGCACGAAATGTGCTCTAATGTGATTCCTATCGCACCATCTACATGATTGCAGCTTTCAGCTTATTTCAATTCAGTTCAACTCTCCTTTTATAATCGCATAAAATGATTAACTATCTCTTGAGCTTTGTGTAATTCCCCCAGATACCATTATCATTATTAAATAGATGGAAGCAGACTTTGGGATATAGGCCCATTTATTAAAACACAAATTTAATGGTTCTTTTATGAAAGTTATTGACCAGCTGCTACCTGGCAGACAGGTGTACCGATAACCCATTCCTTGTTTGGCTAGGAAATGGAGTTATCGATAGTTTTAAGACCAACGATAGGCCTTTCAGTGCCATAGAAAGCGAATAATTTTTGAAGCAAGGTCATTATATTTGAATAAAACGCTCGTTGCCACACAATCGATAACTATCGATTTTAAGAATAAATGCCAAAGACAGCTAATCGATAATTATCGATTTTTATACGGGCTATTTTAGACATTCCGAAAACTTAAGAAGTCAATGACAGCAAATAGTTTTTGGAGCAACAGCCTCGGACTGATTGCTCGATAACACAATCGATAACTATCGATTTGCGGATTTGGTTCTTTGACTAAACTTTTCAGTGGAAATCAAAGAACGACAAATACCAAATTTATTCAAGATAGTTTTTCCCGTGATATCAAGCTATAAAAAAGTTTAAAGTTCGAATATTTTCTTATCGATTATATAGAAGTTAAATCGATAATAATAATGATAATAATATGCAATATAGAAATTAGTTTGGAAGCCTGGAAAAATGCAATAGTTGATCCTTGAAGAAGTTGAACTTGACTGTCTTGAGCTATTCAATTATTGGCTTAGGCTGTGTGTGCTTTACAATTGCATTGAATATCTATCTTTGTTGACCTTTGACCTTCGAACAATAGGAACAACAACAACAACAACAACAACAACAACAAATCCGTTCTGAACCGAATCAACTGTAACGCAATTTGCAATTAATTTGTTGTTATTGCATTTTTAATAGTTGCAATTAAATGTGCTAATTGTTAATTGCAACTTACTTTCTTCAGGCATATGTAACTATATCTGTATATGTCTATATATATATATATATATATATATATCCATATTTATAGGTGTTTGTAGTTCTATGAAGCGCTTGAGGGTCGGCATTCACTGTGAATCTGACAATAATCAATTAGGCTTTCAATTTGTTTTGTTGCGTTGCGTTTTGTGTGGCGTGTTGGGCAATGGGTCGCTTATCGTAAACACCTGTAACCCCCGCTATATACACCCCCCCTCCACCACCCTCCCTCTGCACCCCTTCTAAACTGCCCCTAAGCGGCAGTGTGTGTGTAAGTGCTTGAAATGCTAAATGTTTTTCAATTTTCGCCATTAAGACAAGCCTACAAATGCCTTATAAATTATGCCGAGCACGTTGACAGCTTCGTAATCGTAATCGTACATATAACTATATATATATATATATATATATATGTATGTATGTGTCTATAGTTGCCTGTCTATAGCTTTGGCTCTGCCTGTGTATCCGTATCTGCGTATTGGAATCTGTATCTGTAGCTGCGACAGCTCAAAGTGTCTATGTATATTGAAGCTTGAATCGTGCTCTGATGGCATATTATTCCGATGCTGGCAACTGCCTACACTTGAGCTCACACATTTAACACACATCTCTGCTACCGTCACGCCCCGTCACGCCCTGTCACGCCTACCCGCCCTCTCTATAATTGTGGTGCGTGCCCGCAGTCACATAGACCACTTTGTCGTTTACATACTGACATCCTGATCGGGCACTCAACTTAAACGCTTAGCATTTGTTTTTATTGTTGTCATATATGTGTATGTAGTGCATATTTATTTAGGCCATTTAACTGTCACATTTCAGATTTGATCACATGTTCCGTAAATCGTTCGATTTGGTTCCAAAGCTGCTCATGGGAATCCTGCTGGTTCCGAAATGGCGCAGTTCTGCCTGCCCAAAAGTAGTTCCC